ACGATTTGGAGTTGCATTGTGTTTCACAGCAAGAAGTTGTGGAGGAGAGTTTGTCAGAGGAGTAGGAGGCGGTAACAGCAAAGCAACAATCTTCTGGCGCAATACGATAAATGCTGAAAGCATGGGAAACTGTTGCATCGTACACTGAGAGGCATCACTCTAATAAGGCAGTGGCTATGCGCGCTACAAATATATATAATGATAATGCTGTGTCCCTTTTTCACCAAATTTTGAAGCGTCGGTACAAACAAATGTCTCTAGACAGCTTTATAGTAAAAAAAGAATTAGATATGTATCATAAATAATAAACTAATTATTTAGATTTTTTTTTTGTTTTCTGCAAATCGAATTCGCATTCAAGGTTGGTTCATTCGGCATAGAAGAAAAGATGAAAATGATTCACGCTCCTTAACAATGTATATATAATTTTCTTTGAATAAACGTTATACATAAAATTTTTTGAGTATTTTTTTTTCGGCATGGAACGCATTAGCGCATTTTACATTAATTTATATGGGAAAAATTATTTCGCTTAACGAGTGTTTTGCATTACGAGTAAGATTCTGGAACGGATTTTGCTCGTTAAGCGAGGTTTCACCGTACTGGCATTTCTAGGCGTACAGCGCTGACGTCTCTATCGTCCAATTCTCTTCTGAGTCTGGGAGCGCTGAGCACTGGTGAGAGGAATCATCAAACTGCGGTCGGATTGTAGCTGTGCAGCATTCATATCATCTTTCATTCCATTTGATATCTCTAGATGACAGAGCGTCGTTAAACAAGTTACAAGTTAATCAATCAAGAACATTGCCTGCTATGATACATGTTATTGAAGCGAAGTTCAGAACACCGTTAGTAATTTAAAAGTATTTGGTTCGAATTTCGACCGTGACAATAGCTTTCCTGAGAAATGCAAAATATATATATATGATGTGAAAGGTGTAATGAAGTCCCCGTGCCACGTAAAAATCTAAGCACAGAAAATCGAGGCCAAATTCGCTCGATGGGGGTGAGAGGTTGTAACCGTTCATCATAATTTACCGGACCATTTTGTATTAATTAAATTTATATTAAGTTAAGATCACGTAATATACAAACAGAGATCCTGCAGATAGCCAACTTTTACACTCAGAAGTGACATAGTTCAAGTTTTGCTATGTGGACAGGAAGTAACATCTGGTACATTTCCTGGAATTTTGGCAGTTTCAGCAAAGTCAGAAAGTCTTTGAGAATTTGAGAGGTGACAGCTTGGAACAGCTATAACTTAGAAGTGGGAAGGCCGGAGCCTCATTCTGTGATCTTAATACATCAAGTCTCTGTCAACCTTAGTGTCAGGTCAGCAACTGCCAGAATCACGTAGAAAAGCAACATGATGGGAAATTCACAAATTTAGGGAACCTCCTAGTTTTCAAACTAAACCAATGGCACATGTTGGAGGAGTGGATTTCCCTTGGAGTCTGTGGTTCGTGGACCTCAAGGTTCGGAGAGAGATGATTCTACCTCAGGAGTCTTCATTCAACTTTCGGCCAAGTCATACTCAAAAACACAACCACATCACTTCGCTAAAAGTATTACAAGTTCAATCCAAATAAGTGTAACTATTAGAGTTTCCGTTGTGTTCAGCGAGCTGAAGTTAATTAAATAATTACTGAAGTGCTAAAGTCTTGAAGTGGTGTACTTGATTGTAGCGTAAGGATCTTCCTGCCCTGCCCGATCCAGGCTCGTATGACCCTAGATAAGAACTCATCTCCACCCATTACAGAGCATAACCCAACTACTCCCGTCTTTTCCTACTTGCGAGACACCTAATGGTAGTACAGGAAAAGAACTCGCGCCTACTAGCACCAACAATCACAATTCTCCTCCCTTCCCACCAAACTTCTCGACATCCACGAGAAGAGGGAGGAGGGCAGTAACTCCAGTGGAGGTGTCCAGACACGAGGTGCGGGTGAGCCGCAGCACAGGGAAAGGAAGGGATACTGGTAAAAGAACTAATAAGTGACGTAAAGTCGGGCAAAAGGCAGTCACGATGGTAGCACAACGTAGGGGCAACAAACTGAGCGGTAACAAGGTTAGCGTGCTGATGTGGGTCCTCTGTCATTGCGGGAGATTGAGAGACTAAGGTGCCTATTGGACAGACGGTTGGCCGATTGGATTTGAATGTGAGGACGCAAAGAAACTCATTCAAGGTCCAGGAGCTAGCACTAAAAAGGAGAATAACCCATATGTACGAGTACTTCTAAAAAGTAGGAATTCTTTTTAATTAATTGCTACAAAGATGCGATTACTGTTTAGTTACCGGCGGAGGTCGTGGAATTTTTAAGAGCGGAAAAATTCAGGGAACAAATCCTCCGGGAGGGACTTTAAGCCGTGGGTCCCGTGTCGTAGCTTTACGGAACGTAAAAGAATCTCATGTCCCAAGGGGACCACTGAGCCAAATTCAGGAAGCATGGAGATACCGCTGAGCCAGTAGAAGCCGAACTCGCTGGCTGAGTCGGGACTGATGGCACGCACCAGTACCGGCAGGGAATAGAGATTGGTAGAATATCACAGGGGGACGCACAATGGACCAATATCTGGTCTAAGTGCATGGGGAAACCCACCCTCTCTAATAACAACAACAACAACAGTATGAATGCATGTATAAGGGGTGGACCTTCTTGGCACTTGCAACGCGATCACAGTGGTCTATAGTTACAATAAATTGATAATATTTATCTGCTAGTCGGTCAGTGACAATCAGTTAACTTCGATTGTTCTAATGAATAAAACAAAGTACTGTTCTTGTAATAGCGCAACTCATTACCGTAATAGCCAAGATACAGATCCACCAAACTTTCTGTCTCTGCTGCAATACAGAAAAAGAAAATTTAATCTCTGATGATCTACGTGCCACAAATTTTTCACACTCAGTAACCACTCACAGTTGCCATATCATCAGTCTGATTTAAATGTGACGAATTAAAGTAACATGAACTTAAGACCATGCCATTAAGGAGTATAGGGAACCGGAAAGTAAAGCTTCATACATTCTAGGTATCATTCATTATTAAGGAGGAGTGGTCAGTTTTCCACGCTTTCTGAATCACAGGAATATATCCTGGAGTGTGCAAGACCTATTTTATGGAAAATATGAAGTAGACCCATATATTAAGGGGCGACCTCACAGTTCATTGATAGCTGGAAATAAATAGCGATGAACGGAACTTCGTAACTTTTTAAGAGGAGGGCTCAAGTAGTAGGCAAGAGGCAGGAGTCTGAGCTTACATCTATTCTAATGATCAGAGAATGGCCGCGCCAAAGCTCAAGCGGTTAGTCGCTAGCTTCCCGCCGCGGCGGCCCGGGTTCGATCCCGAGTCTGGTCACGTGGGATTTGCGGTGGACAAAGTGATGCTGGGGCAGGTTTTCTCCGAGTACTTCGGTTTCCCCTGCCAATCTTCATTCCCAACAATTGCTTCACAATCACCCTCACCTATTATCTGGGGCTGGTACGTTTACAATAGGCCAGAAGTGGCCACAGTACAAGGGACTTTGTCCCACCCCACTAGCAATAAAAAAATGACCAGAGAACACTCATATATGAAGCACAAATGTTTTTGACAATCACGTCTGGACGTTTCTCATTGGCCCTCGTCATCCAAGGATGTTTTTGGGTTCTTTCACCCAGTCCCCTGTGCAACTCATATCTATGACTGCCAGAGAGTGCGGTTGACCGCTCATCTCACCTAGTGCCAAGGTTTAAGAATGTGTGGAGTCTTTGGGCCTATATCTGCGTCTCCAGCACGCTTTCTGGGAAAACTTAAACTGCAGCACAAAAGCGTCTAGAACATGAAATGCGTGCTAGAAGAAGAACTGAAATGTGTAATCCCATTTCATACCATTATTTTATGACGTCTGTTTACAACAGCAACATGTGTTCCCCTTATCACCTCGGCATGGCCAGCCTTCAAGATCGGGATAGATACCTTTTCCCCATTGGTTATTTCACACTTTCAGAATAGAGGCTACACAGCGTAGGATGACAGTATGACAGACGAAAGATTAATTTGAACTGGTTTAGAAGGAAGTGATTGTAGAGAGGCCGCGCCATAGCTCAAGCGGTTAGTCGCTGGTTTCCCACCGCGGCGGTCCGGGTTCGAGCCCGGGTCTGGTCAAGCGGGATTTGGGGGGCACAAAGTGGCGCTGGGGCGGGTTTCCTCCGAGTACTTCGGTTTCCCCTGCCAATTTTTATTCCACCAAATTCTCCATCATCATTATCACCCGGAGCAGGCTACAACAGGCCAATCAGTGGCCGCCGTGCAGAGTGCATCCAGGTGGACTCCCCCCCCCCACTAAGCGAATTAAAAAAAAAAGCGATTGTGGCCTAACCGAGGTACGATCCAGCATTTTTCTGAAGGGACTGCAGAAGCCAAGAAAAATCTCATTCAGGTCAACCATCGTCCCCCACCCCAACAAAATAAAGTTCGAACTAAGCACCTTCCGAATTCAAGCCCAGAGTGTTACCTCTTGACCAACCTGTCAGGTGAGAGGAGAATTCAGTGCATTATTCTGTCAAAACGAAATAACAAGCTGGTCATTCTACTTTCGGTAACTGTCATTGAAATGCTAGTTTTAATCGTCTTTCTTCCACAGAACAGTCCAACCCAAGCTAAACAAAAAGGAGAATATATTCTCGGTAGCAGTGTGGATTTTAAATTTATGTCAGTTAGTAGGAATTACATTAAAGAAATATCCCGCCCTGTAACCCACCGAAACAATGAGCTTTAACATTTCTAACCTGGAGTACCTGTAAATACCCACACTTTATATCTTCATAAATATCAAATTTCACCTTAAGGATTCTTTTATTGAATATGGCATTGAACTTTAACTTACGGGCTATATATCAGACGGAGATCATTCCTCGAAGGTGTGAAGCTGATGATAACAGCTTAAACATGGCGGCGAAATGGTGGGGAGAGTTGGAGGCAGGGCTACGCTGTTGACAAGTGGGAGAAACTGTCACATAGATTGGTTAGTTTCACGGATTGCGTGCAGTTTAGTGGCGAGTGGTGGTAAGTGTGGTTTTGGTTGAAACATCGCTGTGTGAAGTGAGTTCGCAATTTGTTGACAAATGTTTTCTGTGATTTCTAAGCAAAAGTGTGCATTATGTACTGTATATTGTAATGGTGAAATACAAAGATTGGTAGTTTGTGTACTAATTCTTGATTTGGATGTGTTTTATTGGATAGATAGTGTTATAAAAATTGTGGTGTGGGTATGCAGTCTCGACTGAGGAATAGAAATTTGAAAGTGGTTGTTATAAATGTGTGAAGTTCCACAGTCTCGTTTGAAATGAGTATAGAATTGGTGTATACATGTATATGACCAGTGACACGCGGCTTCAGCAGGGGAATTATATTACTCTAATTTGCTTTAATATACTTTAAAAGCCATGTGTTGAATTAGGCGTTAAGACGTATAAAATTTCTTCACTTCGTGATATAGCCAGTGTTGCGACTTGACATAAGCTTCAGAATACTAAATCTTCTGGGTATATGTGGGGAGTACAGTTACGTTTTTACATAAGACATTGTTGCTCCGAAATGCATTGGAAACAGATTACCAACATAACAGAAGAACGAAGTTCGAAAGAAAGTAGGTAAATGACAGTAACGGCGTTCACTTCTAGAGGACGATAGCAACGAAAGCTGTGTTAGTTTCTGTTATTTATTTATTTTTTCTCCAAAAGTTTGGTCCTGCTTCTCTTTGTTTAGTTGGTGACCTACTTATTTTTAGCATTGTCCAATACAGCATTTGAGTCGGAATGTAATTGTTGAGTCGGTATGGCAGCCAGGCTGCGGGCTGGAAGTCCGAAAAGTCTTGGTTCCATTCAAGGAGATTTTTCTCAATAACGGCTGTGGGGAGCACCCATCCTTCTGTACATTAGGTGAATTTGCAGGTGGGAGGGGAAACGGCAGGGTTGTGAAGCTGACGGCTCATCAATGACTAGTGCCGGGGTTAAGAATCACGGAGGTATAACCCCACTGCTGCATTCGTTTTCATGGCGTAGTGGTATTATTAAGTCCAGGGATAACACTATCTGTCTGCACCACAATATACATGATTATACCTCCAAATACGTTATGTACATATAGGTAGAACGTTACTGCCATCTACTCACTGTGTTTCGAAATTTTACAGGCATGCTGTTATGCTAGTAATAGTCTCTATCCACATTTTAGAGCAACAGTGTCATAGGTACATGTTATAGGAATCAGAAGTTGTTCTGGTCAAAATGGGTATCAGTCTAATCACTAGAAACGGCATGCAGCGTTTTTGTTCATACATGTGCCTTTTATAATTCTATATGACAACAGCATAGCCATGATGCAGTCACGGCATGCCAACCACTATACAAACATAGCCATAATATTCACTGATGTTTCTTCAAGACCAGTGTTTTGACAGGTAGCAGTCATTCATCAGGTATCAATAAATATACTTCCGTTTCCACACAGCAGAGAGTAGGTCTGAGGAGTTTTAACCCCCATATTAACATCTTACGCATTACTTACTTACTCATGGAGCTGAGCCCTTCTTGAGGAGCCGCCAATTCTGCAGCTACTCAAGAATTTCCCAGCATTTTATGGAACCCGAAGGTTCATCACCGTGTTCACAAGAGCCCTCCACTCGTCCCTATCCTGAGCCACATCTATCCAATCCATACCATCCCACCTTATCTCTCTAAGATCCATTCTAATATTGTCCACCCAGGTACGCCTTGGTCTTCCCTGTGGTCTCTTTCCTTCTGGCTTTCCCACCAATATCCTATATGCATTCCTTGTCTCCCCCATTCGTGCTACATGACCTGCCCACCTCATCCTACTTGACTTGATCATTCTAATTATACTTGGAGAAGAGTACAAGTTATGAAGCTCCTCATTATGCAGTTTTCTCCATCCTCCTGTCACTTCATCTCTCTTTGGTCCAAATATTGTCCTCAACACCCTGTTCTCAAATACCCTCAATCTGTGTTCCTCCCTTAATGTCAGAGACCAAGTTTCACACCCATACAGAACCACAGGCAAAATTATAGTTTTGTATACTCTAATTTTTATGTTCTTGGACAGCAGACGAGAAGACAAAAGGTTCTGGACCGAATGGTAGCAAGCATTACCTGAATTCAATCTCCTCTTAATTTCCTCCTGAATCAGGTTTTGAGTGGTATCGTTGTACTCAAACATCTGAACTGTGCCACATTTTCAAAACATCTGTTTCCTATCTTTATGTCATGATTTTGCAAGGAGTGGCGATAAAGCGTCTCCTTGTTTTAGACCATTCTGGATAGGAAATTTATCAGACAAACGTTTACCTACATGGACTTTACTATACGTTTTGTTTAAACACATTGTAATCAACCTAACTAGTTTCATGGGCATTCCAAACTCTTATCAGAATTTTGTACAATACTTCCCTCCTAA